TAACAATATAACATTTTATAAAGATAATAATTAAGTATTATGTTAGAATTCAATGATTATCATAATTATATTTTATATTTTTTATATTTAAAATGATATGTTTATCTTGTATTTGATTATGTTTATCTGTAGTTAGTTACACGAATTCAGATATGGAGCTTTAATAAGTTGTACTTACGCACAATGTACTTGTAATCTTGAGTTTTAAGTAATATGCATTAATAAACAATACTTTACGTATAAAAAGTGCTTTTTAAAAGTTTTTGTCAAATGCTTTATAATATAGTATAGATTATAGATAAGGTAAAGTTAATTTTCAATTATGAGCTACTTACTACTAACTAGTTTGAGCTAAACACAATTTTTAAGAGGGGTCATTTACAATAATAAACATAATTTACATCTAATGTTTTTGAAACGTATTGTTTCCTCGATGAAAAAAGGTGTTAGACTTACGTTAACAATCTTTAAATCTTGTAATGTAAATAACAGTTCAAGACCCCTTTTTTGATTCATTAATACATATCTATATTTGACCCAAACCAACCATTAAGCTCATATAGGTGATTAAGCACATTCTGTCTGAAAGTAGTAATAGCATATATCAAGTTTTAATCTGCTTACTTTGATTTTCATACGAGACAAACCCCAACAAAAATTAACAGAGGCGTAAAAGAAACGAAACGCAAAGATTCATTCTTTTAGATACGTTAAAATTAACTATCGAGAGACTAAATATAAAACAAACATATAATGATTTGAATATTTGTATTATGTTTATTGGTTTATATTAATACTCTTTTTCAAGAATTCAAAAGCGATGACTTTATGTGTGATTTAGGGAGATGAATAAGTCAAACTGAGTTGAGTAGTAGGTTATTCGAGTACGGTTCAAAAAAATAACACACTAACTTTTTTTAAAGTAGGGATGAAGCTCGAGCTCGATGCTCATTTACAAGCTCAAACTCGTGATCAATTAAGTTGTTTATTGGCTCGAACTCGATTACTTTTATATATTTATTATATGATTTATGAACATTGAGCATGTTTGCCTCAAAAAAGTGTATGCACGAAAGGCTTGGTTCTGCTCGACTTGATTCGCAAAATTAACCGAACTTCTGAACGAGTTGAGTCGTACATATGCGCTAAGCAAGTTAAACGGGTTTTATTTTATGTTTAAGATCCTCTATTTCAAAATAAGTAACTCGTTAAAAGCTCTAATCGTTTACATGGTCTCTTTCTTATATGGGTTTGGATCAATCTATTGGCTCTAAGGGGATCCATGCAATTGCAAACCAATGTGGGAAAAGGGCCCAATTAAGCCTCTTCAGTTGGGCTCTTAGCCTGTTATCTGTGAGCTTGGGCTCTATGGATGTGTTGTCAAACAAGTAAATCATTAGGGTTTTTGACATGATTATAAACTTAGAATTTTTGGCATAAGATGGTTCATATATTCTCTAGTCATGATGAAAGTGCAAGCTAACACACTCAAATTTTATTGGTTTGGATTGTTGTAGGCTTAAAAGTCACTCTTGGTCCCCTCCTTTTATTTTCTATCCAATAAAAAATAAAAATACAGTATTATTTAGCACTTTACTAGTTTTATCAGATTATGATTTTATAGGGATCAAGGTTAATCCATTCAGTCATATACGAGATATGGGTTTGTCGCTAAGATCTCTCACGTAGATGCATTTAGATCTTTTTTAATTTTATACCGTAAAAGCTGACAAGTCAAGAATTTTAAGTTTCAACCGTTACTTTATATAATATGTCATGTTTACAAGCATAATTTTGGCTTAATTTAGAAGGTTCTTTGAACGTATTTTAAGATCAGATTTAAATGGATGATTTGTTATCAAAGTTTTTGAATTTAGTGAAATTGGAAATCATGGGGTTTCTTGACTTTTTGTTATGCATCATAAGAAGCTCAAACTTTCTCGACTTTTGCTTTCATTCTTCTTATTATTATTATCTATTTATTCATTTATTTATTTATTATGTCTAGCTTAAATGCCTTCACGTGAGAATTTCAACTTTTGATGCATTAGTCAAAGCTTTAGGATGCTTAACCCTCTTACATATACATCAACTTTTAGACTTGTACAGAAATCCAATTTTGACTTTTCGTAGCTTTATGCTTCGCATTTCAAATGATATTATGCTTTTTGATAT